TCTCTCTGTCTCAAAAATAAATAAACGTTAAAAAAAAAATTAAAAAAAAAAAATAAAAAGTGAAGCTGAGAAGGAGCTCAAGTTTTCTAGATTAGGAAGCTGGGGGTTAATGATGCCTCTGCTGGGACAAGAAATACAGAAGATGCAACAGGTTTTGATGAGAAGGTAATTAGTTCAATCTTCGACTAATGAGAAATATCTAACTGGAGGTGTTTGGTATGAGTTGAAGATATGGATATTAAAGGGCCAAAGTTTTAGACTAAGCTATATCATCAACCTATTGATGGTAATCGAAGCTACAGTGATTGTCAGGTCAACCAAGGAGAACATATACTCATGTAGAGAGTGAGAAAAGATGGGCTGGTTAAGACTTCTAATTGCCTACCTCAACATCTATTCTTCTGCTCCTCCTTATTAACAGAATCCTAATTTTAATTAGGATAGCCTTATATGAAGCTAACAGTCAAGGTGTCTCAGCCTCTCCTGCACCTAGGTATGTCCATGTGACAGAGCTGTGGCTGGTGAGATATAAGTAAAAGTGCTGTATGGAACATCCAGGAAAGTTCCTTAAAAGAGAGAAGGTACTCCATTTCCCTTCTGTCTTTCCTCTGTCTTCCAGATTGCCACAGGACATGGTTTGACAGGACATGAGGTAAATTTGAAGATGAAAGCCATTTGTTAGGATGATGGCTTCCTGAAGATACTTAGGAGACATATTACTATATACTTTTTTGGGAATAAGAAATAAGTTTCTGTCTTATATAAGCCACATGCATCAAACCTAATCCCAACTGATAAAAATTAGTATTAATGTTACTGTAACAAGAAATTCCTACATTTAAGGAGTGGTTAAAGAAGGAATTGCCAGTTAAAAAGACTGAGAGGGATTACTGGGTGGCTCAGTCAGTTGAGCTTTTGACTTCAGCTCAGGTCATGACCTCACCATTCATGGGTTCGAGCCCCTCGTCCAGCTCTGTGCTGACAACTCAGAGCCTGGAGCCTGCTTTGGATTCTGTGTCTCCTTCTCTCTCTCTGCCTCTTCCCTCTTGGTCTCTGTCTCTGTCAAAAATGAATAAACATTTAAAAAAATTTTTTTAAATAAAGAATAAAAATCAAGAGAAAAATGCAGATTGAAGAGTTAGGGTGGGGACAATAACAGCAGATGTTTAAAACATGCCAAGCAGGAGGAGGTTTGAATGTAGGATGTTAAATTTAGAACTACAAAGCCCTTGTTGACTTAAAAGAGAGAAATTTCAAGAAAGCGATAACAGTGAAAACCTAGTTGGGCTTCCATCGTGAATGAGAGTCAGAGGAGCTAAATTAATATTTAATTTTGGGAATAAGGGAAATAGAGCAATAAGTTAAAGGCAAAATGGAAAAGAGATGCTTGGTGTCTTTTCTTACAACTAAACTATATCTCCAATGATCCACGATTCTGTTAATATTGGCCATTGTTTATTACATTAAAAGAGGTCACCCATTCTTTGCCAATAAACTCAAAGCCTTCAAAGTAAAAGAGAAATGAATGGCCTTTTGCATTCAGAGTCACTTTCATTTGGGGACCTCTGTCCATAATAGTAGGACATTCTGGAAAATAAAATACTTCCTACTCTCAACTCAAATTCTAGGCACGCATATGTGTGAGTGTAAATGGGGCAGGTATAGAGGTGACATGGAACGCCCACATCTGAAATAAATGAAACTTCTTTTAATTCTTTTTTAAAATTTTTATTTACTTTTGGGAGAGAGCAAGCGGGGGGCAGAGCACAGAGAGGGGGACAGAGGATCTGAAGCAGGCTCTGTTCTGACAGGCTGACAGCAGCAAGCCCATGTGGGGCTCAAACTTTCGAACCCTGAGATCATAACTTGAGCCAAAGTTGGATGCTCAACTGACTGAACCACTCAGGTGCCCTGAAACTTCTTTTATTTCTGAAAAAATTCTTCTCTGATTATTCTAATATTTGGAGGTGTATTTGTATCAAGGATTTTTTAAATGTTTGTTTCTTTTGAGAGAGGCAGAGTGAGAGAGAGAGAGAGAGAGAGAGAGAGAAAGGTGGGAAGAGAGGGAGACAGAATCTGAAGCAGGCTCCAGGCTCTGAGCTGTCAGCATAAATCCGACATGGGGTTCAAACCTACAAACTGCGAGATCATCACCTGAGCTGAAGTTGGCTCCTTAACCAACTGAGACACCCAGGCGCCCCAGGGATTTTTAATTGCAAGTAAGAAAATGCAAGAAGTCTGGGGCTTCATATGTGACTCATTTGCAAGCCACTGTGTTCATCTTCTGTCTGCCCTCCAGGCTCTGGCCCCTGTTCCTAGACTGTCTGCCTGCTTGCTTCCTTCTTTCTTTTCTTCTTCTTCTTCTTTCTTCTCCTTTTTTTCTAGGATAAAGGAAGCTGTTACACTGGGGTAGAAACTGTGCAAATGAAAGCGATGTGCCAGGGGCCCAGGGTGCTAGGAATATTTTAATACCTTTTCAAGTGTAAATGGAAACTACTCACTAGAAAGAAATTTGAGTTAAAAATTGGGGGCTGGAGGGTTACCTGGGTGGCTCAGTCGGTTAAGCAAGGTTAAGCAACTGACTCTTGATCTCAGCTTAGATCATGATCTCACACGTTGTGAGGTTTGGGAGATGGAGCCCTGCATCGGGCTCTGCACTGCCTACTTGGGATTCTCTCTCCCTCTCTCTCTCTGCCCTTCCCCTGCTCGTGTTTGCATGATTTCTTTCTCTTTCTCAAAATAAATAAATAAACATTAAAAAAAAAAAAAAAACAGGGGACAGGAGCCAAGTCCGCGAAGAACAATGATAAAACTGACATCAAATAAAATACTGGCCAATGTACATATATTGAGTTTATGAATTCAACATATAGTAATAGTATTTTTTGAATACTTTGTAAGTATTGAAAGGATTTTAAATGCATTTTTTTCATGCCATGTGTTTTTGAAAGAAATCTGTTAGACTCTGGGTAAAAAATTAAGTATGCATTATGGTCTTCATTGAAAGGCTAAAAAAACAGATTTCTATTTCTGTTAGGAGAAAATGCTTCTCCTCTCTTCCTGGATTTGCTTGCTAACAGAGATGATGAACATACTTCATAATTTGTAAGTTCCTCTACAAAGTGCAGCCATTGTTTAATTCAGTGATTTGTAACTTAAAGTATCGGTTTCAACCTATTCATACCAAATGGATGAAATAACTTTTTTACTTTACAATGGCCCTTGAATGGTGTGGGAGAGGAGTTCTCAAAACAACACCCTTAAGCGTTGCAGAGAGGAGCATCCATCTGACCCCTTCTTCATGATGTATTGAATGTTCCTTGGTGTATCCTGACAGAAATGTTAAAACCCACAGAGCTACTTTAAGGATAAAAAAAACTCATATAACTTTATTTTTTTAAGTAGTAAAATGTCTCAGTTACATTTGGATACAGTACAAAGAGTAATAAAATAGCACCTGTGAATTTTTTAATAGATTGTAAAGAATCTTGACTCCTTTATCTTCCTTACTCTTTCTCCACTTCACTAAACAAAGAAAACAGATTACTCTCACTTCTGCTCCGAGTGGGTCACCAGGGGCCTGATTTTCATGCGAACAGCCCTGAGGGAATAATCTGCACCTCTGAAGGGAACCCAGACCACTCCATTCTCAATCTCATAAGGACTGTTGTTCCTTGGGTCATAGGAGCCCCCAGGGTAGTAGATGCCATTGAGATTGGCTGCTTGGCAGCTGTTGTACCACCAACCTCCTCCGTAGACTTCTGCGCAGTTCTCTTCCCACAGGTCTGCATCCCTGTCATAGGTGCTGAACTGCATGCCAGCATGAGAAGTATACTCTGTTCCTTCCTCTACGGAACCCTCAATCAGAGCATCACCTGCTGTGCCCTCATAGGAGGAGACCTGCAGGGGATAGCCTTCTGCCTCAGAGCCTACCCTCAAGTGATATTCTGCATAAGCCAGATTCCCAGCCCAGTCCTCTAATTCAACCCGAAGGACAGAGCCCCTTAGGGTCAGTAAGTGGAGGTATTCATTGCCTAGCCAGAATTCTCCTTCCCCCTTGTCATCCAGACTGCCGAAACCTCTCTTGTAGTCTTGCCAGGTCCGGTTAAAATTCAGTGATCCATCCATTCTTTGCTGGATCAAAAGCCATCCTCCCAAACTGGTCTCTTGATCACAATAAACAGAAAAAATCTTACTGGATCCGGGTAGCTTGATATTGAAAATACCACTTTGGGCACCTGCAGGATGTGTTTGGAGGACATCATCACAGTCTAAAAAAAAAATTAAGCTGGTTGGAAGAAGTTACTCTCATTTAACTTTACAAAGATAGGCATGGCCCAGATTAAATGAAGGCAGATACTGGCTTCCTTTTCCTTCCTTCCTTCCTTCCTTCCTTCCTTCCTTCCTTCCTTCCTTCCCTCCCTCCCTCCTTCATTCCCTCCAGGGGGAAAGGATGCACCTACACTGAGATGGAGATTAAGCAAGTAAGCGACATTTATACCTACAAATCGCAAGGGAGATGTTCCTCAATGGATTTGAAATTTTACTTGCCCGTACTGATAATAGCAAGTAACCAGCAACAATATCTAAGCATCATTTAGTGCTAATATAACTTGTTTTTAACCTGACCTAAATGTCAACTGAGACACACACTTAAAATATGATTAATAAATTGGGTGACAATTCCAACAGCACACATTTTGAATGGTGAAAGAATTCGGCTAAACAAATTTAAAATCGAGTTTCAGAGGGATTCATTCATTCATTTAACATGTTATTTATTGAGTGATGACTCTCAGCACTGTTAGGCATTTGGGAATACAGAGATGAATAAGATAGATAAAGTCCCCGCCCTCCTGGAACTTACAGTCTAGTGCCAAAAAAAAATAAAATAAAATAAAATAAAAACAAAAAACCAAAAAGTGTCATTTCTATAAGTATAATAGAGGGCTAGGGAAGAAGTTCAAGGTGCTATGGGAGGCACTGCGGGCGAATTTAGTCTAGGGGGTCAGGGAAGGCTTCCCCAAAGGAGAAGTGTGGATACCTCTGGCAGGGCGAGCTCTAGCATGGCCTCTTTTGGTGGTATATGCTCCTCTGAGGACTTCGTGTTCCGCTTCACTTCCGGCCTCACCTGCCACTTTAAAGCTCTTGCTTTCAAATGTGGAGTCTCCTCTGTTGTAAGTCTTACTAGTGGTTACCAACTGTTTGCTGTGAGTTGAAGTTTTACCACTGGAAGGGAGCTCGTGTTCCCCTAAGTGCGTGAATATGTCAGATTCTGAGCCCATACTTTCAAACTCTCTTAAGGTAGGTGGGAGTACACTCGAAAATTTGCTTCCAGTTGAGGCAGATTCAAAGAAACTCGCCAAGTCAGGGTGTCTAGAATGGAGATCCCCTAGGCTACCAGAAAAAGCATGGGACAAGTCACAATCAGAACCATCTTCGGAGTTTACCACTTCTTTGATCACTTCTTTGCGACCATCAGGACCTATAACTGTCTTAGTGACAGTTTTAGAGCATGAACGACGAGTGGTGGTCGTGCTACCAGAGGTGACCTTCTCATTACCAATAAGAAGCTCTTTATCTCCTTTAGAAGTGACCAGTTTGCCCGTGTGGTACTCTTTCTTTGTCCCTGGAGATACACTTCCTGACACCTCTTCAAACTTGCCCCACTCTTGCTTGGTAGGCCTGGTGTCCCCATGCCCTAAGCTATCTGGCCTAAAACTTCCAGGCTGCGGAGTTCCAGAGCTCCAAGAGCCACCACTGCCAGTTCCAGTGCTCCCAGAGCTCCAAGAGCTGGTACTCTCCGTGTTCCAAGTACCCACACTGCTAACTCCAGAGCTGCCGGCGTCCCAGGTGCTGCCACTGCCAGGTCCGGAGCTCCCGGGGTTCCAAGCGCCTGAGCTTCCAGGTCCAGAGCTCCCAGGGTTCCAAGCGCCCGAGCTTCCAGGTCCAGAGCTCCCAGGGTTCCAAGCGCCAGAACTTCCAGGTGTGGAGCTCCCAGGGTTCCAAGCGCCCGAGCTTCCAGGTCCGGAGCTTCCAGGTCCAGAGCTCCCAGGGTTCCAAGCATCTGAGCTTCCAGGTCCGGTGCTCCCAGGGTTCCAAGCGCCCGAGCTTCCAGGTCCGGAGCTTCCAGGTCCAGAGCTCCCAGGGTTCCAAGCGCCTGAGCTTCCAGGTCCAGAGCTCCCAGGGTTCCAAGTGCCAGAACTTCCAGGTGTGGAGCTTCCAGGATTCCTAGGGCTTTCAGGCACTGATCCCGTTCCATGCGATACAGAGTCTCCTGGGGCATTCCCATCTGTACCAGACCTCTCTAACGTTATTTTCATCTGCTGCGTTTCCATGAGTGCCTTCCACTCTGCAGGGGCCTTCTGAAGCTGGTGCTTGTACTCCCCAGGAATCATATCTGGAGCTGTGCGCATTTTCAGCTGTGGTAAATATTGCGTATCTCTAGAGGGAAGTAAGTCTTTGGCAATGACTTGTTCAAGTTGCTTCTGCTGATCTTCGTAGTACTTTAGATCTGTCCTACGTTCTAAAGCCCTACTGCACGACCCTTGGCAAGATCGGATCTTAATATCAATGTCCACCTAGAGAGAGGGGAAGAAAGATAAAGAAAAGAGGCAGATATAAATAAGGAAAATTATGTCTATTGAGTTCTTCGCATTTAATTTATTTTTTGAAAACCGGTTTCATTTCTTTACTTGGAGACCTACCAATCAATTCTGTTTTTCATTTCTGTCATACCCTCAGTGGAAGAGATGTGGGTATTATAAGGTTTGCCTGGATAAGCAACAGGAGCTATTTGGATTCATCTTAGTCTTAAAATAGATAAAGAGTAAGGTACCATTCCCTCTGAAAGGAAACACTAATGAATTGAGCCTCAGTGAGACTCAGATTGAAGATTCAGAGGCACAGTGGTGTCAGAGCTTTGCAACAAGACAAGCAGGGATTTAATATTTGCTTTTGAAATTTACTGTCTATGTATCCTTGGAAAATGTACTTAATATCACTGAGCTTTTTTTTTTTTTTTTCATCTGTAGAGTGGGGAAATAATACCTACTTCATAGTCGGATAATGGATATATAACACCTTGCTCTACATACAGTAGACATTCAATGAATTTGCTTCCTGCTATTCAAAAACAAGGAAATTCTGGTGGCAGAGCCACAAAGTTACTCACCTCCAGTCGTTTCATATCTATCAGTTGATCCCTGACATTTTTCTGCAGAAGTTGGATATGCTGTACTTGTTCCAAGACTTTGCGCTTCAGGATCTCAATTCTGCTTCTCAGATCTTCTGACACTTGGCTAAATGTATTATCATTGTCTGAAAAAAGAAAATATGGATGTTGAAGTATCTGCCAAGTGCTTTGCTTATAACAGCCAGTAAAGAAGGAAACTTGCTTATAAATATCCTCCCCTTTTAACAATAATTTGTTCTCTGGACATTTTATTTGCGAGTTCCAAATCTGTTAGGCATTTTTGGACAATGTTATGTCCTCTAGCCATCCATGGCTGTCAGTTAAGATGCCCTACTAGCAGTTAGTAATTCAAATAGATGCAGAAGAAAAAATTTGGAATTTTAAAGATGTCATTAGGAGATTAAATAGTTTGATCACATTTCAATTATTTCATCATATCTTTAGCCAAGAGACTTAAACATATTCATGGATTTTCTTACTGAGAAGTTTTTCTTCCAACCTATCCATTTGAAATTGTTCCTAAGCTTTTTTATTTACTTATTTATTATTATTTTTTTTAGTTCAACATGATCATTCACTTGCCATTATTGTGGTTGCACCATTGGCATTAAATTAGTTAAGTGTCTTCTAACGATATAGAGAATTACAGCAAGGCTTCAGTAACTGGAGCCTCAGTAAACTTGCTTCCCACGCCCAGAGGAAATCGAGTGTTTCCTAGTCCTAAGGCTTAGTCATAGTCCTATGAGAAAGAACATGGCTCTATATTTTGAATTAGCCAAACCAAATATAACATAAAGAGCTTGGTGGAGTCTGTGGATTGAACTCCTAACTCCATCACATGATAGCTTTGTGTCTTTGGTTGAGTCTCATGATCTCTGTTTCCTCCTCTGTAAGATAGAAACAAAAATATCTACTCAAAAGGTTGTGCTCATTTATTTTCAGTATATACTCTTAAAAAAGAGCACACTTAAAGTCTACTCTTCACTACCAAATTCTGACTTTGTGACTTTAAACAATTCTAAGCTAACCTTTTTTATGTTATAAAAATAACAAAAAGAAGCCCCTCCTTAAAATTTAGGAATATCATAAAGGCACGTGTTTCTATCTTAAGTACTTTGGGATAAAATTGAAGTTGCTATAAGGAGACAGAATATTTATTTAGGGCTATTGTTGTTTTGTTGTGTGCTATAAAGTGAAAGCACCAAATCTGTAATGCTTACTGTTACCGGTGGCAAAATCCCCTCTCACAAGTTCCATTACATTCCCTGTCAGTAAACTAGAGTCCTTATTGTTCTTCTGATAATCAAATAGTGAATTTTTGAGCTTATTAATTCTGTTTGTAAAATCTTGATTGACTTCATCGATTAACCCTTTCATCCTGCAGCCAGAAGGGCATTTGTAGTTCTGGAAGTGAAGAGAAAAAAATTACATTAAGGGTCTGTATCTTGGATCCAGTATAATTTTGAAGGTTTCCATGCAGCCCCCCATTGCTCCCCCCGCCCCCCACCCCAATATCTTTAGATCATCTATTGACTTAAAAGTAGTTTAAGAGGACTAGTCATAGGTTGTAGAGAAATACTGGAATGAGGGTTCACTTAACCATGAAATAGCCACCAGAAAATCTTGAGGCCTGAACATGCAACTAAAATCCAATCTGTTAATCCCACTAATGACCCAGAGTTTGAGAGGTAATTTAAATAGTGCTTTCAGAGTGAAGTTGCTTTCCATTTGTCTTCTTTAATTTGGCATGTAATGAGCTATTAGATTATTTCCCACTGGAAAAGTTTTCTGGGACCTACTGGGCCAGCCTGTGCACAATTCTAGCACCACAGGGAAATATTCTCCCACTTCCTATGCCAACTGCTCACCCAGTCTTCATCAGAGCAGAAGGGCCAGTCTGTCTCTTTGCACACAGAGTGATGTCCTTCCACAATTCTTGGGCCACGCACACCTCCTCCTTCAGCTATAAATTCACCTTGCTGGACATCTCCAGTCTTTAAGGATTCATTCATACACACAAAAGAGAACAACATTAGGCAGATAGGAGAAGACACCAACATGCCTTCAAATCCCAATTAGGGGGAAGGTTCTTACAGAGATTAAGAACACCAGTTTGGGGCATCTGCAAGCTTCAGAAATCAAGCTTTCTTCGATTTTGACCGAAAACCCTAATACCCATTTCATGGAGTTGCAGGAATTAAAGGAGATAAGGTGAAGACATTTTTTAACTGTGTTTGAGACAAAACAAGCATTTAATAAATGGTAGGAGTTTTAAAGGATTTATTATGTAAGGAAAATTATTTGAATCTACAAAATTAGTTAAAATTTACATTTTCATTATGAGTAATGTCTACAGATAGAAAGGTAATTGAAAAATTCAGAGTTCTTTATCCTGTAATTTCTGTTTCAGTAGGAAAAAAACAAACTATCTTAGCTTAGTGTCTCCTTCAAGTTTCTACTTTGACCCTATGGGTCTATTATTTGAGCAAGTATATACCAAAGATACAAAGACGGCCAATTCAGACTGGGAAATGTTTTTTAGGTTATCCACTCATGTAATAAAATTTCCTTTTTATTTGTAAAGAAAAAGAGTAGACTGAAAACAAAAATAATGGTCCATAGCTGACTTTTTGAATACCTTCTAATTAGAAATATAGATTTCTAAAACTTTTCTTTTGTGATCTATGAGATAAAATAGGACATAAAAATATTCTTCCAGGGGCGCCTGGGTGGCTCAGTTGGTTAAGTGACCGACTTCGGCTCAGGTCATGATCTTGCAGTTTGTGAGTTCGAGCCCCGCGTTGGGCTCTGTGCTGACAGCTCAGAGCCTGGAGCCTGTTCCGGATTCTGTGTCTCCCCCTGTCTCTGCCCCTCTCCTGCTCATGCTCTGTGTCTCTCTGTCTCTCAATAATAAATAAACATTTAAAAAAATATTCTTCCAACAGGACTTTGTATCAGTTAACATGGGTTTTAAGTTTTAACTATGTTTATTTTGTATCACCAACTTACAAGGATTTTGCTATAACTATTTTAATCTCAGATAGTTTATTCTTTTTTTTTTTTAAATTAATCTCTACACCCAACCCTGATATCAAGAGACACATGCTCTGCCTACTGAGCCAGCCAGGTGGCCCAGAGATAGTTTATTCTTATAATTAGTTAATATTTGCTGTCTCATTTAAAAAATTCTCTAATAATAATGATAATAATTCAAGCAATCAAGGACAGTTTATTTTAAGAAACAAGTATAATCTCTCTGTTTAAGAGATAAAATTATAAATTCAAACATACTTCAAAATAAAATGGTACAACAATAAAAACAGGCAAAAATTAAGTATTTATGCCAATAGGTAAAAATAGCCAAAAACGTATGCATTATCCAAAATAACCATGTTCACAAATGAGGTTAGTCTTATTTTCCATAAAATTTTTTACTTATTAGTTTACTATAAGGAAGAGAATTAAGTTAGAATCCCTCTTTAGTTTTTTCTACTCTGGTAACAGGATATGAGTGGTGAGGAGAAAGAAATAAATTGGAATAATTCATAGCCTGAAAGTAACAAAGTGTCTTAAACACATTTGTCACGTTTTTATGAGACCAAAGTGTTTCAAAAGCTTGTAAATTGAAGTCTTCTGTTCTATAGATCTCTGGAGTCAAACTTTAGAAATTATTGCAATATTTAATAACTATTTTAAAAGATTGCTTCCCAAAAAGCATCTTGCCTTCTCAGTTACTCTCTTCTGATTTTGCTATGTCATATGTTTTGCTTTTCTTTTTTTCTCAAGAAACATAAAAACCACCTTTCAGAAAAACTATATTAAACCACTGTTCTGCTTATTATGAACAAATAGCAATAAATTAACAATTAGGTTTTAAAAACTCTTATCAGAGGAATGTTTTGTTCTGTTAACTAGCATTAACTATCCTAAGTCTTTATTGGAACAAAGATGGCAAAGATTTCTTCCCTTCAAACAAACAATGTTGTAAGACTGTGTTTTACAGATGCTAGAGTTTCCCCTATGAATTTCTGTACTTTGGTCCAGCTAAGCCTCCCTCTTACTCTTGAGGTCTCCGGCTCATCTAGGAACTTGCCTCCATGGCCTAAAACTGATAAAGCTAACAGTGTGTTAGCATACATAAGCGTGCTAGGACACACAGTGTGTGAGGACATACATAAGGCTGACTTAGACCTGCAAGTTCTTTGTGGAATAAATACCAGAGAGAAAACAAGAAGAGAAAATAAAGGTGACCATACCCAGACTGTGCCCACCACACTCAGGGCCAGGCAAAAGATCTTCAGGGAAAACATCTTTTCTAAGGGTAGGGCTGAGTCTTGAGGAGCACTCCCGCTGAAAGAAAGGAAGACAGCTTCCACTCCTAGTTCCCATCGTATTTAAATCTGCAAGGAGGTCTGATTAATCATTATCTTCGTCCTGTTTAGACAGTCGATATGCACTCCTACATCCCTTGCTCCTTCTCTAAGGTTGGTGTCCTAGAAGTTCTTGCTCAATTCTCCTAAGCTTGTTTGCTTTTGATAAGTTGTTGCCAAGGTAGAAGCAATTCCAGGATGATCTCACATTCCAGGAACAGGATGACTTCAGAAATGCAAAAGGAAACATAGGAAGCCGTACCTCTATACTTGAGACTTGAAAAAGTACGGAGAGTGGCTGAGGCAGACTAGCAGTAGCCTGTTGTGAACAGAGTTGGCAAATGATATTTCGCTTTATGTAGGAAATATGGTTGGATGATCTGACTTTTAAAAAATTACTTTGGTGACAGGCTGTCCCTGAAGTCCTTCTGTAAGTTACCTTGAACAGATTAGTTTCCTCCATCGAAAATGGTTAAGACAGTAGCCCCTGGAACCAAACATCTTGGGTCCATAATCTCAGTTACACCATTTCCCAGCTCTGTGCTTTTGGACAAATTACATGTTTTTATGAAGAATAAATGAGTTAATCCTTGAAAAGCACTCAGAGCAGTGATTGCCCACAGTAAGTACTGGGTAAATGTTAACAATTATTGAAGAACATAAAGTGCATGAAAAATATCATTTCCTTTCTGTGTCTATTCCTTTGGACCTGCCAGTTTACTTTCCCTGCTCTTCTTCTTCATGTGAAAGTTTTCCGTGGCCAGTTTTAGCAAGCAAAAAAAAACAGGATTCCCAGTTAAATTTGAATTTCAGATAAACAACAAATGCATTTTAAGGTAAGTGTGTCCTGTGCAATATTTAGGATGTATTTATACAAAAAAAAAAGTTTGTTGTTTATCAGAAATACATATTTAACTGAGCATCCTGTCATTTGTCTGATAAGCCTACCTTGCCTCGAATTGTGCTTCCTATGTGAAGTCAATTCTGATAATATTAATAGTTAATATTTATTGAGTGTTTGCTAAGTGCCAGGCACTGTGCTACAAAACACTTTACAGTGTACCTGATTTCATCTCTCCAATTGAAAGCAATTTCTTGGGGTGCCTGGGTGGCTCAGTCAGTTGAATGTCCGGTTCTTGGTTTCAGCTTAGGTCATGATCTCACAGTTCATGGGATTGAGCCCCTTGAGTTCAAAAGAAAATTAAGGGAAATTATAAACTACTCAGATTGTGGGTAGATATTAACATAGAGTTGAATGAAAAAATAATAAATACAATGAAGACCTTAGCAGTGTTTCTCTTTTTTTTTGTAGTTTTTTTAAAATTAATTAAGTTATTTTTTATAAACTTAAAAAAAAAGAAATCTACTCATGAGAACATTAAAAAAAAAAAGCAATCTCTTGTTCTTCCATAGTGCAATACTTAGAGGGGACCCTAGAGTCCCATCCAGGTTTTGGAAGGCAGTGATTTTATGGAATGTTGTACTCATAGGCAATGACTGAACTGGCAAAATGCCAGGCATGGATAGAAGCTGGAGGCTTGACCTCTTTAGATGTTTTTGTGTGCTTATTGAAAGTGTTCCATTTGGGAGGTGCGCATAGTCTATGGAAGAGAACCCCCTGGTGGGCTTCAGGTGACTTAGTTGAACACAACCTAATTGAAAGTAAGTTAAGAGAAAACAGTCTGACCGAATGCCACGGCTCTGGGCCACATCAGGGCATTTCCAAGGCACCACCTTTAGCTTTTAGCCTTGCTGTTCCACAGTTCCCTCAAGTATCTGCACATCCAGGGCTCTTCTCAGATGACACCTTCTCAGAGAGACCTTCTTTAGCTAACACAAAGAGCAGCCGTACCATTAACCCAGTTTTGTTTTACTTCATAATATTTTATCACTACAGGATAATGTATATTTGGGAAGCTATTTGTCTATGTCTCCTTCGCACTAAGCTTCATGAGGCCAAGGCACATTGCCTAGTGCAAGGTCTGGTGGAGAGTAAGTACTAGTAAGTATTTGTTAGAGGAATGGAAGGCTGTCACAGCACAGTATGGCGGAAGAATAATGGCCTTTGCAGAGAGTGAGATCTGGATTCTAGCTAAGTGACATGGACAAACTAAATTCTCTAAGCAGTTTACTTATCTGTAAGATGGGGATGGCAATATTTATATTGCAGAGTTGTTTTGAAGATTATATAACATGGCATATATATAACATGTTGGATGTACACAGTAGGAGACCCAGAAATGGTAGCTCTTATTGTTCCTAGAATGTCCTAGTGCCACAGAATTGAAAGTTCCCGTGTTGTCTCTCCAGTGCCAGAATTCCATAACCAGGCCCTTTTGTAGGACTGCAGGACTGGGCACCAACCACGCTGGGCCCTCCACCCATGTATTATAACCTACGGAGAAGCAGGTTTTGCTTCACCAGGAAGCCATGCAGACAAACAGACAACAAATAATACAAGGAGTACCTTTTTTTTTTTATTAAAAATTTTTTTAATGTTTATTTTTGAGAGAGAGACAGACAGACAGAATGTGAATGGGGTGGGGGGGAGGCAGAGAGAGAGGGAGACACAGAATCTAAAGCAGGCTCCAGGCTCTGAGCCTGATGTGGGGCTAGAACCCACAAACTGTGAGATCATGACCTGAGCTGAAGTCGGATACTTAACCGACTGAGCCACCCAGGCATCCCAAGGAGTACCATTTTTTAAAAGCATGTGACAATAAGGATGTCTTTACAAGTATATAAATTGTGGGCAAAATCTGAGAAATTTCATTTCTTAAGCCATAACTTCTATAGTATTGTATTTTTCCCAGAGATGACTATATCCTAATTTTTTAACACCAATGAGAGGGATTATTTATCCTCTTGAAATTAATATTATATTCCACAAATTACAATTATTTAATTGCAGGGATTCATATATTTGCTATCCTGTAACATCTGGCGGGCCTGGAATGGTATATAATGTATGTAAAAAGAATAGAAATTCTACAGCTGTCATTATGTTTCAGGGCTTTTATTTTTTAACGTTTTTTGGTAAAATTTATTTTTGAGAGAGAGAAAGAGAGCATGAGTGGGAAGGGGCAGAGAGAGAGGGAGACACAGAATTCGAAGAAGGCTTCAGGCGCTGAGCTATCGAAACTTACGCATGAAGAGTAACATATATAGCCATTGTGTAAACATAACAAGTAGGAACCAAACAAAAGAAGACAAATCCTCAGCTTTCTTTTGAGTGAGATATTCGTCCTTCCCTGGGCTATATCCCAGGGAAGTAAGAGAACATCTCTTTCTTTACGCATTTATTCCACGTGTATTGAATTCTCAAAGCAGTTCACTTATTCCTTCATTTGTTTAACTGTAATAACCATTTACTGCATGCCTACGACTTGTCAGCCCTGCATGCTGTGTTCTTGAAATAGAAAGGCAAATGACGCGTGTATAGTTTTGTACCTAAAATCGGTGAGGAAATCAATATGTAGCTAAGAAGTTAAGCCATATAAAATTGCCATTTTTGTAGGTCCAAATGATAAATATGTGCAGTTTCCCATGGTTTAACCTAATACAACACGAAAGGAAAAATTCTGTGATGTGTATTCAAAGTACTGTTAAAATACAGAGCAGAGAATGATCTCTGCATTATTTTCTGTTACATTTTGTATAAATGTTCCTTAAGATATCTGGTTTAATTCAGGTCTAAAAATTCAAGATGCTTCTGAAAAATATTCGCTATGTCTTCTAGCATAAATCTGTATGAATCTGTGTGCATTTATTATTGTCCTAATAACCAGAAGACAATGTTGCTTTGACAGGACATAGTTTATCAAAACAATATTAAATGCACAGTTAGAAAGTGCTAAAATTAATTTCTAAAATTTGAAACCCTTGGATTGTAAAATTTTAGGCAATTCTGGTACTTCACAATACTCTTTCGGGTCCTCTGCCTCAGGTTTTACAGCAGTGACTAATCTATAAAGGAGTCACTGGAAAACACTGGCAAGGCTGCTTAGCTTTGTGTATCTGATCTTCTCTCTGTCTCCTGCATTTCAGGGCTGTTGCAAAAGTTTGTTTTTAACCAAGCTGTTTACTGTGAAAGGTGAATGAGTTGATGATAACATGTAGGAGTAACTAATGGCACTTTTACTTTTGGACCTTATCAGTACCCTGATGGTTCCAAATAATTTCCCTAGCAATTATAGCTCTAGAGAAAAGATGGGGATTTCCTTAAACACACAGAAATGATTCTGAACTGGATTTATAAAATGGATGAGGGGGCAGGGGAAGAGCTTTCCTTGATCTTTGATTCTGTCACACTGCCTTTCTCCTTAATCTACTTAGCCAGGAAAGAAATCTACTTTATTTGTTAAAATTGAACTGTTTCCAGATTAATAGCCATGTAATTGAATAGTTTCTTGGTATTTTTGAAAGTAAATTTTATAATGTTCCAATAATAGATTAATAATTCTCTCTTTGTTGTGTTCTAATGCATTATTCTCACAGTCTTCTGCTTAAGCACTTTTAATCAAGTTTCCACTAAAGTAGTTCTGAGTGTGTGTATGTGTGACACGTGTGTATGTGTGAGTGAAGCAGAGAGGGAGGAAGAAAGAGAATGAGAAGAAAGGAGGGAGGAAGTGAGGGGAAGGGAGAAGGATGAGTGAAAATGAGGCCCCTGAATTTTTCCCATTGCTTTACTTCTTCTCATTTTTTGACTGTGTTTATCAATTTAATAATTCATTTTCAAGATAAATTAATTTTACTTATGATGTGCTTTACTAAATTTTACTGGATGTATCAAATTGTTTGCCTTGAACATGCATTAAAGTATACAAATACTGTTTTTGAAAAGTTAAACCATTGTACAAATGAATAATCAATTGATGTGTTAATATCACCAACATGGTTTCATCCTAATGTCATACACCTTAAATCCATTAAATTTGGCA